GGGCCCATGGATTTATGGATGTCAGGTTTGGACAAAAGATATCTAACCTGATCCTCCTCCACCAAGGGAGAGTCTTCCTTTCTCCAGACTTCCTCTCTTGTCTCCAAGGTCTGAAATTCCTCAGGACTGGCCTTAGCAGTGAAGACGGAAGCAAAGGCAGCATTCAATAACTCTGCCTTCTCTGTATCCTTTGTCACCAGGGCACCCGCCCCATTCAGCAGCGGGCCCACGTTTTCCCTAGTCTTCCTTTTGCTATTGATGTATTTGAAGAAGGCCTTCTTGTTGTCCTTGACATCCCTTGCCGGATTTAATTCCAACTGGGCCTTAGCCTTCCTTGTCGCATCCCTGCACACTCTGACAACGTCCCTGTATTCCTCCCCAGTGGCCTGTCCCCTTTTCCACATTCTGTGTACTTCCTTCTTCTGCTGGAGTTTTGCCAGGAGTTCCTTGCTCATCCATGCAGGTCTCCTGAATAGCAGGACCAGAGTCTGTACCCAAGAACCGATGCACCCCACTTTAGGAAACTGGGAAATTTTGCCCTCAGAGAATGACAGGTATCTAATATGAAGCCCTAGGCAGAGGCTTAAAACAAAACCAGTCTGAAAGGTGCTGCAAGGGAAAAGGAGGGAGAAATCAGGCAGCATGTTCTCCTGCTCCACCCCCTTCAAATGAATTATGTGACCGGAAAGCTGGTACCATGATCACCCTGGAAACAAGCTACACTGGCTCCTCCTAGTGGCAGCTCCATGTGCATGGCTATGGTTATTAGTGATTGGTACTCGGCTTAATTTGAATAATAATGAGTAACCACGTATTTTATCTATACCGTAGTGGAGTCTGAAGCCTTCAACCAAAAACACCAGGCCTCCTGTGGTATCTGACAGATATATCAGTGACCGCCACATCTGACTGTTGCATCGTTAACTTTTTGATCATCGTTAATGTGGTAACAGCAGCCCTCAGTAGCACTGCAGTTCATCCGCGGGGGGCTGCAGCGGCAAAGCTTGCTAAGGGTGTATAACTGGCATGCACTGCTCGTTCAGCTGCTGGTGCTTCAGAGGGAAAATTGGAATAAAGCAACTGAAAACCTTACTTAAGGAACAGGTAACACATACAGTCAAATAGTAAAGGAAAGCAGCTAGATTACCATGTTAGCCAATTTGTGAGCCCCTAAACAAATCGCGGATGGATCTGCTTATGGAATGACTTCTCCCTCTGCAGTACGGAGGAGGTCACCACCTCCCCCTTGGAAGGAAGGCACACTTCGGGAGGGGGATGCGGGAATGTCAGAGGACACTATGAATTTTCATTGTAAAATTTGAATAAATGTTCTACACCAAAGCAGGCACAGTGCCTGAGCATGCTGGCAGGCTAGCCTGGAGAACTGACTGCATTTGAAGGACTGCGGTTATAATTACTGTCACTGTTGCTTGCATCAAGAGTTACAACCACACGAACTTGGAGCCTCGTCAGTTTTAGTCATTACTTTAAAGCTAGCTCTCTTTTATGCCTGCCCAGTGATTTTCTTGCCCTACTTTTGGACAGTTAGAAAATATTTATTTTTATACCTAGACTCCCCAATTAACCACAATAATAAAATGAACAGAGGACTGGATCTCCTGAGGAGGAACAGGAGAAAAATATCGATCTCTGCTCTCTGACCCAGAGCATGTAACACAAAAGGGAGAAGGCCTTGGATATAATGCTGACTGATGTTATAGAAAACCATGTCTTAGAAAATACTGATTGGTGCTATAGAATACAGAAGGGGAATCAGAGCATTAGTGCTGCGTTTTCTCAGATGCAGGGCTCTCTGGAAGAGAAGAAATTCACAAAAGCCAGAACACATTACAGGTGTGAGATGTTAAATTTCTACCAGTTCCCGCTCTCTCCTTCTCTTTCCTGACAGCTGAAGGGTTTGGTAATTGAACTGTACCAAAGGTATAGCTGGTTGTTATGGTGAAATCATGTAACAGCTGAGGGAAACATCTGTATCTGTTGTGGAATTAGGTTAAGATATTGAGTTTATGGTCTAACAAGTGGATCTGTGCTTCCCAGTAACATCTGCATATTCTTGTTACAGCTCACAGAATCACAGAACCACAGAACCACAGAATCGTTTAGGTTGGAAGGGACCTCTGGAGATCATCTAGTCCAACCTCCCTGCTCAAGCAGGGACCTCTAGAGCATTTTGCCCAGGATCGCGTCCAGACGGGTTTTGAATATCTCCAGCGAAGGAGACTCCACTACCTCTCTGGGCAACCTGTTCCAATGCTCTGTCACCCTCACAGTGCAGAAGTTTTTCCTCAGGTTTAGGTGGAACTTCCTGTGGTTCAGTTTCTGCCCGTTGCCTCTTGTCCTGTCGCTGGGCACCACGGAGAAGAGGCTGGCCTCATCCTCTTGACACTCCCCCTTCAGTTACTTATACACGTTGATGAGATCGCCTCTCAGTCTTCTCTTCTCCAGGCTCAACAGGCCCAGCTCTCGCAGTCTCTCTTCATAGGAGAGATGCTCCAGGCCCCTCATCATCTTTGCAGCCCTCCGCTGGACTCTCTCCAGGAGCGCCATGTCTCTCTGGTACTAGCTCCAACAGGGGTGCTGTGGAAGCACCTTCTATATACAGCTCACATACAACATTTGTGCTTCACGTCCAAGAGCCTTTTTTTTCCTGCTAAACCTTGATGAACATCCTTAGGCACCGTCACAGCGGAGGGGTGGTGCCTGAAGAGAAACCGAGCCATGGTGTCTTTAACTCTTTTATTAAACTAACCCCTGCCCACCTCTCAGGTTCTTTGGGTGTCTTTGGAGCAGGGTTTGCTGATGGTAAACATTCACAATATAGTAACAAACAATCAACAAATAATAACTAGCAACTATCAATGAAAATATTCAATAGTGATTAACAGTATGGAGGATCAGTCGTAACAATACACATTAACGCATCTATCTTCTAGTCACAACAACACAGGACGCCAAACTATTTACATAAGGCAAGTAAGTAAGTAGGTGCACAAACAAAGAACAAATCACCAAATAGGCAATTGCTATCTGAGCCTCTACGGAGCAAGAACTCTTATGAAATACGACAGGCCTTTCAAATGACCAACACGTGGGGGGAGAAGGAGAGGAGAAGGAGAGGAGAAAGGCAAATCTCCCAGTTCCCTCCAAGCCCTCCTTTACCCGGATTATGGGTGGGGTGGCAATCCACTCGCTCGCCGTAACAGCGGGTTGCACCGGTTAGATGCTGCCGGACGCCACCACAGCTCTGGATCGGCGTCCCGACCCAGAGGGGAGCGTAGGCCGCCTCCGCAGACCAGCTGCTTCGAGTCAGGTGGATCTTCTCCCGCTGACACACAGCGCTCCAAAGTCTCCTCCGCTGTGCTGCCTTATATAGCCTGTTTGGGGTGGGGTGTGGTCATACACCTTACTTGGTGGTAGTTTGGAGCATGCTCGAAGGTGATGGCGAAGTCTCCAACGTTCCCCGGGTTGACAGGTACCTGGCTCCTTCCTCTGGTGGGTCCTAAGGTCTTCAGCTCTGCCACTCAGGACCCTGTTGCTGGGGTGCCAAGTTGGGGGGGAAACTGCGAGCAGGCAGATTTCGGTCGATGGGGTCAATTACAGACAGGGCAGAGAGACACGAGGTCTACCCATTATTCCCAGTGGGGGGGTTACCACCACACTTCCACCCTGTGACCGTAGTCACACCCCAAAAATGAACCCTTACAGATTTAACAACAACAAATGATACAATAGAAACAGTTTAACATACAGGTCCAGGGTGTGGCATATCCACTGGTGTTACAGTTATCTCTAGGACTGCTTGAGTCATATTTCATTTGATATGCTTTACAGTAATGCTTATTCCTGTTATAATAATGATAATAACCAGTATCCATTGTAACAAACTTTGAATCCAGCCTGCCACAGAAAAACCAAATTTGTTAACTAATTTCCCTAATAAACTGTTGCTCATAATATCCCTTAATTCCCGAGTGTCTTGGGCCACAAGCTGCATGGAATGTAATTGTGGTTCTAAATCAGAAGTTACGTTTGGTATAAAGATACAGCAATCATTTTCTGATGAGCCTAAATAGCCACACACCCCCTTTTGCTTTAGTAGCAACAAATCTAATGTAAGATGGTTTTGCAATGTCATTTTAGATGTAGCTTGAAGTTGTTTGTTAATTAACCCAACAGAATTGTGGGTGGCATTCACTAAAGCCTCAGCCTGGTATGTTAATTTGCTTAATATGGCCCGGTTTGGTGCGTTCACTGCTCCTAAAGAGAACATGCCTTCAAGGGCCCATGAGGTCCCAGTGCAAAATCCAGGTTTTTCCCACGCTGTGATGTCATCTGTTTTGTGGTGTGTCCAATATTTTGGCGTGACTGGGGAATCACGCCACTGTGGGCAAAGAGTAGGTATGCCCAGGGTGCATTGTAGAGGCACATTAATATGGGTTTTTGGAAAAGAAGGTTCAAGGACTCCTGTTTCATCTTGGAGTTTAGCAGGATCTAGTTCTCCCTCAGTTTTCCCTTTAGGTAGCACTGAACCTAAGTATTTTTTTGCGGCTATCTGCTTTCGAAGGCGGCTATAGCGGTCAGTAAAGATAGCATCAGAGTGGCGTTTGACACGACTGTGATGCACATTGCTATACGGCAGTTCAGTATGTAAATTTCCATCTGAACATGCCCATATCATTCCCACAGGCGGTTTAATAGCACTGGTACGACATTCCTCCCTTTTGGTCTCGGGTATTGGGGTTTGGGCACAAGCGCAGCTTGCATTGAGAACTCGAGTCACCGAGAGATATGGGCTTACATCATTCAAATCAAAACAATCCAGTACTCGCTGACAATTCCAAAACATAGACTGGTTTAGATTAGGTGTTGCACCTATGCACCAAGATGTATTTACTGGATATGTATATTTTAAAGAGTGGTCTTCATTCTTCCACCCTTTTAATTGGTTATTATAATCAGTCAAGTCTACGTCATACATTCCATTTGCTTCACCTTTATCAGTAGCACTAGTAAAATTTACATATAACGGTATAAGCCCAATTGGTAGGAAGGAATCAGCTGACCCTGGCATGGGCAAGCAGGCTGTGATTTGGGTTAGATTTATTATATCTGCAAACCCCTTGATAAGTTTTAATATGATATTTTCCTCAAGACGTCCTGAGCCCCTAGATACAATTATTAACAATAACATAAATTGTAACATTTGCATATTGGCGATGGACGAGAAATTCACACGAAGTAAAATATCTGAAAGCTAAACTCTGAAAGAGAAAAGAAAGAATATTCCCCCAAAACAGTAAGTAGGGTTAGGAACAAGGTAAAATCCAGCATGAGCTAATTCTATAGGACTTGCCATTTTCATGCTCCCCTAGGTGTATTTAAGGTCAAGGGTACAATGCCGATGTTTGGAGCTTTACT